GAATGTACAGATAAGGCGGTTTTTGCTTATACAATGAAACACATACACTCGCGCGGCAGCCACACCAAAGTAGTAATTATCTAACTTACACACATAATGGCGTTAATGGGCTTAAGCACTGACAAATCTTCTCGTTCCTGACCTGGAATGAAAACATTGCAAGCCTGACACATTATACGGTCATGGCCTTGTAGGGTAAGGATGAATTCACTCAAAGCTCCGGTACAGCATTTATTTTTATTTTTTGGTGAACAAGCATTTTAGCTGGTTCGAACCTTTGTTGAACTCCAATTGAACAGATTAGGTCAGTTTTTTTTATAGCAGAAGTTTGTGAATCAGCTTTGAATCAGAGCTGCTTTCCCTTAACATCATCAACTCCCCCACTGCAGGTTTTTTTTCCATTACAACACTGAGATTCAATTTAAGACGCATGAATAAAACCAGATCTTTTTTTTGGTTCTAACTAAACCTGACCCTTTATGGGACAAAGGCACGATTGAAAAATGTTGTCTAACTCAAAGCTCTAATTGAGCAATAGCACAAGAGAGGGAGTGATGTTGTACAGGATGTGATTTGTTCACAAGATCTCAAAATACTCAAACTGGGCATGAACCTCTGTTTACTGTCAGAGAACCAAGGACTCAGACTACGAGGTGCTGACTTTCATCTAAACATAAAACCACTGGATTGCATACTGTGTGTCATTGTCTAATAAAGCAAACAGTATCACATCATCTGCAAAGAGCCCAATGTCAACTAGTGTTGGCTACAGCCCTTAATCCAACAAGAAGCAGTAGGGCTTATTAATGGATGAAGATATAGATCAGTTTGGCTATTGCCAATATGTCAAGTAATTCTGAAAAGGTAAAATGCTGACCAACTACACCACAACCAGAATGGATTCAGCATTACTCCTTCCAGATCTGAGGTTTCTTAATTGGGTCAGAACTCTTGCACAAGCTTTCCCAGGAATGCCAACTTCCCAATCTTCAATTAAAAATATATATATCTTTGACCTTTTGCCTTTAATGGCTGGGACTCCTAAAGAGACACATGTAGTGAATAAAGTCTAGGGGATGACATGAACCCAAAGTTGCAGAGAGTCGAACCACCGATTCGGGGCACAAAATGGAAAACCGGGGGACCCTGGTCTACTTTCAGTTGGTAGCGCAGGGTCCCCATGTTTTCCATTTTGCAGGATATATTCCTGGGGCAAATCTCAGCCAGACCTGTCGCCAACTAGCTATGGTGCTAAGAGTCATCTGAGATAGTTAGCATTTTTAACACAGGAAGTTTTACCCTCTGAATTTACTTGGTGGTTTCCATCAACTATTTCAGGCCAAAAAAGAGTCCACTGATGTTTTCTTTAATCTTTCACAGTCAATTAATCAAGTCAATACATCCAGATTGGTTTTGTGAACCTTTGGAGGGAACCTTTTGGGCAAACGTTTTGAACTTCAAGCCAAATAAAGTAGTTAATACTGGCCTTGACCAGCTACAACAGTTACATCGCTTCCAATGTTTCAGTGGCATTCTCTACTGTGATTATGGTTTCTTTAATGCTGCCAACGAGTGTCTATTACATCACTCTCATACCCATAATCACCGTAAAGACTCTCTGCCTTGGGTATTAGTGATATAATGCATGATCTTAACTGTAACAAACATTCAATCCAACATAACCATGGATGGCATGTGGTCAAGTGTTTGCTGGATCACTGAAATAATGTTTAACCAATGAGATAAAACACAATAAACAACCCGTTAATGGAAGGATTTTTTTCTCGTTTTTGGATATTGTTCTTGTCCCTGGATGGATTTCTGTCTTTTCATAAAGATTTAGGTTGTCATGACGATTAATTAACTGATCTTTGGAAGAGTCTGCAGTCTAAAAAGAGGGTAGAAAACCTCCAGTTGAACAAGTCCATACTGAGAAAATCATGATTCCAAATTCCAGTCCTGATTGTCTTTAAATCCGCTTTAAGCTTACATTTCTGTCTCTCTTTATTAACCAATTTAAAACAAAAGACAGAAATGGTTTGATTCTGTAAATGTGCTGTGAAATGGTGCTATCCATGGTGCTGACACTCCCACCATTCCACCTAAAGTTTATTTTTCTGTCCTTTTGATTTGGCACCTTTGAAAACTTTTTTGTATTAACTTGAATGTGAACGTAAACTCGTCTTTAACTGTAAAACCAAAGGAAGAAAAAACCCAAAACAACAAAAACAACGTCTCTAAAATAAAATTTTAGATGGCAGTGCAACGTTTATAAAACAAAGTCTTTTGCACTTTACATACACGTACATGTATGCAGAGTTCTTTTTTTTTTTTTTTAAAGTACCCTGTCTAATCATTCTCCATACCTTACAGATTTTGCATAATCAGCGGTTGTTGTTTAGAAAAACAGGATGTTCTGTGTATGAATGTACTGGTTTGTACCTTAAGGCTGTTGTGCTGCAGGATTTACATACACTACACTCAGTCTTTCCTTTATGATAATCCACACAGGTCACCTGCGTGTATACACTGAGGTCAGACATATTTCACATTGATTGAGTTTTTGCATGTATCTGCAAAGACAATGCATTTGTGTATGCATTGTTGATTTTATGTTTTGGTGTGAAGAGTCAAATATAAGCATTTTTTAAGGCAGTAAAAAGTTGATTGATTTATCCATAACCTTTCTCTCATGTCACCATTGAAGACATCAGTGTGTGTGTGTTTGTGTGTGTATTCATGAGTGTATTTGTGCTCACCAGAGGATTTTAAATCAGTGAAACTTACACTTCCAAGACTTTCAGAGGGGGAACAAAGAAAACGTAAACACATCTTTAACTCAACAAGTCAGAAAATCAAATGTTCCCTCTTTTTTCCCCTTTCTCTCATTCCCATAATCTTTCATCCTCTCTTTCTGGCCGGCTGCCATGTGTTTCTCCTCCGCTAGGCGGCAGCATTGAGCCGTTTTCAGAGATCAAGTGGGAGATGCTGGAAAAGAAGAGAAAGAAAGACCTTGCACTCCCTGAGTTAAATATTTTAAAAGAGATCTTCAATCCCACTTATATTTGTTCCATATGTCCCATGCTTGGGGAGATAAAGAGACAGAAGGAGCGGAGGATAGAGGGGAAGAGAAATGAGGAATGTAGGTGACAGGGCTTGTAGGTTGGACATTTGCAACAAGCTGATGTTTGCAAGAAAAAAGAAAATTGAAAGAGAGAAAATGAGAGAAAACTATAGCTGTGAGATACAGTTAAGGACTTGATTTCCTTCCTGTCTCTACGACCTTCTGCAGGTGTGTGTGTGTGTGTGTGCGTGCGTGCTGCAGCTGGGGTCGGGTCTCCGCTCGGCCTCTCCATTGTGTAACACCCCGGTAATATTCCTGATCACAGTCTGAGGACCTTAATTGGAGCCAGCCATTTGCTTTGGCACGGCGGAGTGTGGAGAACAGCCCCGACTTCCCCCGACGCCTGCGCCTCATTGATCCGATTGTTTCCTGAAGACTTAGGAAGGAGAAGTGAGGCGAGGACATGACAGGGGATAGACACGTGGACCGGGACGAGGGCCCCCGAGCTAACCTAACCTTGAAGGTTACAAGAGTCAGCTGGTTCAGCTCCCAAATCATCGGAGCTTAAGGCATTTTGGATGAGGACGGGTGACGGAGAAGACTGAGAAACAAAAAAAGAAAGAACAAAAAAAATGAAATAAGTTAAGAAACAAAAGAAGTCTGGGCGCCGGTAGCCTAGTGGTTATGTCGAATGCCCTATGTACAGAGGCTATAGTCCTCATTGCAGCAGCTGCCGGTTCAAATCCTTGGCCCTTTTATTGCATGTCATCCCCCACTTTCTCCCCCCAGCATTTCCTGACTCTCTACAGCTGACCTATCAAATAAAGGCAAAAATGCCCCAAAAACACAAAAACAAAAGAAGTCCGTCTTTCTACTAAAAGGTGAGGTGTGAAAAAAAAAGAGACAGTCATCAAAAAGTTTAAGTATCAATCATCTATCTAACAAGGAAAAAGAAACAAAAGAAAGAAATAAGGAATCCCTCCCTCCTCCATGTGTACGTCACTATAATTACAGGAGAATAATCGGTCACTTTAATTACCGCTGAGTCGTTATGGATCAGCTTTACACTCTTCTTTTTACACTTTTGGCACAGGATCAATTTGAAAACCAGGACATAGACCAGTTTGGGGTCCGAGGTCTGCTGTTGGTTTTCCCATGATGCATCAGGGACCTGAACGTGAGAGAGAGCTCGAGCATATTGAATTGAACCAACGCTCCAAGCGCTCCGTGCGTAAAAGCGCGTCTCCCTGTTAGTTTGGGACGCAGCCCCGGATGATTCTGCAGAAGTCTTTCTTACTGATTTGTACTCTTGGATTTTGTTCTGCAGGTGATTAGTTCAAGAGTGCGCACGTTCTGCACGGAGACACGAGTCATAAAAGTTACTGCAAGCCCCGTCTCTCTCTCTCTCTCTCTCTCTCTCTCTCTCTCTCTGTCTCTCTCTCTCTCTCTCTCTCTCGCTCTCTCTCTGGCGCGCTGCCAGCTCCAGCACGCTCCAAGCCTCCTCTCCTCTTGCGCCGCTCACTTTACACCAACCCCTCCTCTTCTGAGGGGAAAAGAGGAGGAGGAGGAGGAGGAGGGAAGAGAGGGGGTCCTCTAGGAGCTGAAAGAGGTGGAGCAGAGGGGAGGGATGGAGGAGGAGGAGGGAAGGGGAGTCTCTCTCCCCCTCTAGCCGACACTGGGGTGAGGTGGGGTGGGGGGGGGACTGGAGGGGGGCGACGGGAGCCCTTGGCCGCCTATTCGCCTTCCAGTTGCCTCCGCACTATATAAACACTCATTGGTGCCTCTGGCTTGACGCACACACACTCTTTACGCACGCATCCACACACACACTCACACACACACACACACACACTACTGAGGGTGACTTGTATATGTAGAGAGAGAGAGAGAGAGAGAGAGAGAGAGAGAGAGAGAGAGGAGCCCTTCAGAAACAGAAAGGTACACAGAGAAGAGAGTGGACGACAGAAAGTAAGAGAAGGAGAAAGAGGACGGTGGCTTCTGAGCATCTCCTGCGCATCTTTCTCACTCCTGCACGCTCACGGATCTTTTTAAGTCTTCACTCTGCTTCATCCTTCCTCGTGCCTCACAGAGAGATTAACACCTTTCTTTTTTTTTCGTTTTATTAAAAAGAGAATTTGGAGTTGAGAGACACGCGATCCCTGGAAGAGTTTGCCTGTCATTTGAAAAATCTAATCTTTTCCATCTTTTTTTGGGGGAAGTTTTGAAAAGTAAAGCAGTTGCTTGTTGGTTCCAGGGGCTCGGCTTCACTTTTTTTTTTCCACGTGTCCCACGTTCACCCAGCTCCTGACACAAACGTGTCACCTGGAGATTTTTTTTTGCGCCTGGCTAAAAAAAAAAGTTCCAGACTTTTTTTTTTTTCAGATTTTTATTTTACCTCACTGACCCACACAAGAGACCCAAAAATGAGATTTCAAACACCAGCCCCGTGTGTTGATTGTCCTAAAGGCTTAAATCACTAATACAGAGAGTGAGTTTCCAAGCGTTTCACTTTTTCCACTTTCACAGCAGAGGTGGCAGCGCGGCTCACCTGTAGCATCTCCTCCACTCATCAGGACATCAGAAAAACCACTTTGTGACTATTTAAAGACAGAGATTAACTTTTTTTTCCCCCTGAAGAGTGGAAACTCGCACTTCACACGGTTCATTCATTCTGCCGCCTCTTGTCACTTCCAGAGGAGGCTTTTTGGAGTGCGTAAAGGAGCGCTGCGCTTTTACGCAGAACATCCAACTTTTTTTTGAATCATCCCGAAGGATCCAGATCTGCCTGTTTTTTTTTTTTTTTTTTTGAAGTCTTCCAGAGCTCCAGAGGGACGCCGGGCCTCTCCTCCATCATCATCATGCTGTTCGACAGTTTCGACCTCGTCTCGGCTCTGGCCACCCTGGCCGCGTGCCTGGTGTCCATGGCGCTGCTGCTCGCCGTCTCCCAGCAGCTGTGGCAGCTCCGGTGGACGGCCACGCGGGATAAAAACTGCAAGCTGCCCATGCCCAAAGGATCCATGGGCTTCCCTTTCATCGGCGAGACCTGCCACTGGCTCCTGCAGGTAAGCGCGCACTCGGGACGGGGAGGAGTGTGGGGTGAAGGGGGGGGGGGGACTGTTTGAGCGCTTGCCCCGGTGTCTGAGTGGGGACTTGACTCCATCCAAGTATGATGAAATCACTCTTATCTGTTTCATTTCACTCTGTGAGGAATTCTTGATTCTCATTTCGGACATTTTTTCAGCTCATTGATCAGTTTTTCGCTTTGACGGATTTCAGTCTGACATGTGAAAGTTTCTGACGAGTGAGTGTGCAACAGGACAATAATTAAAGACTTTAATTTCACGTAATAGCCACAATGTGTCTCCATCATCCAGTTTTTGATGCTCAACACTCAAACAAGGACGCAACAGAACTTTTATTTTGCGCATTTTTCACAGAGAATTTAAAAATATTTACAATTTTGGCTCGATATCCAGCGACGCTTTCCCCCTCACTTTTTTTCTACTCTCAGCTTGATCTTTATATCCAGTACAACATTGTTTTTTTTTTAAGTTTTCTGCATCTTCTTGCGCGTCTCTGATGCACTCAGACGCACTCATTACTACACTTTTGATTAGTTTAAAGAGCCAATCTCTCTCTCTCCGCTCTCTGCCGTGGCTCCAGCGGCCGATCAGATCACTTTTCTTTTTATTGTCTCAGACGGGAGCGCGTCGGGTCATCCAGCCTCCCGTGCTGCAGTCTGGCTGATAGTTTATCGACTCTTATCTTGATACGGAGGCCAATTAGTGACGGCGACTAGTCTCTGCGCTGACAACTCAGAATCAGTCTCGCTGCTTCCTAGAAGTTTCAGTTTTCATTCTGAATATTTAAAAAAAAAAAAAAAAATGTCAAGAATGTGAAACAGTTTGGCAAACTTTCAAAGTATTCTCAGTCCCAGCTAGGGATAGGGAGAAAGCACGTGCTAGTTTATGTCGAGAGTCAGAGTGAAGTGCAAATGGGTGAAAGGGTGAGGTGAGGGTAAAGTGCACACCTCGGACTCCCTCTCTTTTTTCCTCCTCCTCCTCCTCCTCCTCCTCCTCTCGTCTCAGCTCCAGCCAAAGAAAAGTTCCCAAACATGCCACATGTTTCACAAACCTTCAGATTCCTCCTCTTGGAAGATGACTGACACGTGCTGCAAAGCTGCTTATTGATCATTCCTTGTTGAGATGCTTCACTTCTCTATTTGTTTTGATCGTCTAATTAGCTTCTTGTTTTTTTTTTTTTTTTTTTTTTTTGCATCTGATCAATCGGCAAATGTCCCAGAATCCTTTGCACCACGCGTGAAGAATGTGTCTGCATCTTCATGTTTGGATCAAAACATAGAAGAAGAAAGCTCACCAGACAGCGCAAGAGTCCCGCTACTAAAGCAGCAGTTGTCAGCGCGAAATGATGGCTCCCAGGGGCGTGCGGACAGAAAGGAAGGGGGAGGGGGGGGGGGGTGTGATGGGAAAAAATAAAAATAGAAAGAGGGGAAAAAAGTAAGAGAGAGAGAGAGAGAGAGAAAAAACCTCCAAAAAAGCAAAAGTGGGGAGAAAAAAAAAAAGTCAAGCGAGCGGAGGCACGTTGGCCGTGTGCGGGGGCTTGAACTCTCCGTTAACATCTGACACCGAGCGAGACGCGTTCCCGGAATGCAAGCGGGGACCACGGCCAAGTTTATGGAGCGGGGGGGAGGTAGGGAGGTAATCTGCATGTCTGTCAGATTGAGTGTGTCTATACTTATGAGGACCAAACGTCCCACAAGAGGAGAAAACTTAGGAGCGTTTTTTGGCTCCTGTGTTTGTTTGTTTTTTGGCTCCTGTGTTTGTCAGGTCTCCGTCTTATCTGGAGGGAAGTTAATGAGTTAATGTAGTCCATGAAATGCCTCATAAATTAACTCAACTAAGAGGAGAGAGATAGAGACGCTCGGCTGCAGCCGGGAGCCTCGGCTGCGCTGTGGGAAAGCATCACTGGGAGATGGAGATCTGATGGAGGACTCTCTCTCTCTCTCTCTCTCTCTCTCTCTCCCAGATGCTGTTTCATGTCTCAGCTGCTAGTCTGCTGCTTGATTGGTCGTGGAGACGACATGTCAGACGTGCTCAGAGACAAGTTGTCTCATGGGGGGGGGGGGAGCTTCTGAAGGACTGAAGCACACACATCAATTGATTGTAGTTGAAGAACTGAAGCTGCAAACGTTGTTTTTTTTCTTCTTTTTGCACAGAAATGGTTTTGATTAAAATCGAGGTTGAGGAAGAAACAGAATATTTAGAGATGAGACACTTTGGAGGTCAAATAAAGCACCAAGCAAAGAACAATCCTCATTCAGCAACCGTTCTGTAGAAGAAAACGTGTTTCTGAAAACCCAACTTCCAGTGTTTTTTTTTATTTTTGGGCTCTTTATTTTAAAGAGATAGGACAGTGGACAGAGCCAGACATTTGGGATAGAGAAAGTGGGGAATGAACGGGGTCCACAGGTCAGATTTGAACCCAGGCCGCACGCCTGTAGGACAATGCCTGTGTACATAGGACACATGCATCAAACTGCTAGGCTACCAGAGCCCCACTTACACAATTTCTGACATCCTGCTAAGTTTTCTTATCTGTGATTTGTTCTTAGAGTACGCTAAGAGTGCTGACATGACCGTGTGAGAAATGATATGTTAGTGTGTTTTACTTAATTTGGCATGTTTAGATATTTAAAAAAAAAACATGTCTTATATGATTTAAATATCATCAGGTCAACTTCTATTTCAATCTTGCAATGTTTGATGTTTAACTGCAAACTGTTAAATTATGAATATAAACTCAGAATTTAAACCTAGCTTCACACACGTGGCTTTTTAACGACAATTCAGCGACATCATTCATCATTTCACAGCGACAGCTTTTAGACGTCAAATTGTTTTCATTCTGACAAAATATTTAAGCATTTAAAGTTGTTGTAACTTAAAATAAACTGACAGCAGAAGACTGTCGTGTCTCGTTCTCTGCAGATTACAACTTGAACTTTAATTAAGTTTAAGAAACGTGCTGTAATTTAAAGTTCTTCTTTTTTAAACTGTTAAACAGTCTTTCTCTAAATGTAAATAAAAAAGTCTTTATAGTTGTATCTTAAAAAAAAAAAGAGGAAACAGGCCAAGAGGAGGTGGTTGTTGGGTCTCTTTCTCGCCCAAATGTCGGTCATCAGCAACACTCGCACGTCGCTATGGGAAACAATCTGACCACCAGTGTTGTCGTAGTGATTCTAGTTGATGTAGTTTTCTCTTCCATTGTGTGTCAACATGTTCACTGTATTTAATATTCTAACTAAATGTACCACATTCAGCACATATTCAGTATCTTTTTAAAACAATCAAGCGAGAAATGATCTATTCTCTTCTGGCTCTGTTTTTGGTCTCCACCACCTCCAAACTTTTCTTTTGTTTTTGTTAAGCGCTGCTTCAAGCTAGTTTACGTTTTTTTTTTTTTAAGCTTGTTCCAAACAGCTGTCTTGAAAATTACACTCTGAGAGCTGCGACTCGCTGTGAGGTCAACTTGATCTTCGCTTCAACTTTTAAACGCGTTTAAAAAAGTTGATTCCTGAGTTTGCATGTTTGAGTTCTTCTGATTTTTGGAATAGCTGAACGTAGAGAATATGCTTCAACATTTCCCTGAGTCTTCTCTTTTCAGTCCGTTACTCGCTCTCGTTCTTCTCCAAACGTCTCGTCCACATTTCCCTCCATTAACCCTCTTTTCTGCTTAAACCTGAGTATGTATACGGTGAATATCTAACCCGACACACATGCAGCAGCAGGTTTCAGTGACGGGTCCATTTTAAAGCGATCCGCAGTTAGGAACAGTTTTACGGTCACTCTGCCAAAGACCTGTCTGCTCTCATTAGGAGCCGGAGCTTTGTGAACGGACTGTGCCAAGCAGGAGCCTCACTACCGAGCGGACACACACACACACACACACACACACACACACACACACACACACTCACGTGCACTGAAACACTACCTACACAGAGCAAAGTCATGTACATTTTCAAGATAAACACGCATTAGTTATGCACTCAAATCTTACAATCTACACACCCAGTTCGTGCTTTTCATACAGGTGCACGCTCTCAAAAATATAAACACAAGGTACGGACTTTGGCACGCTCCGATGCATGTGCACGTTCAGATTCCATCACTCAGAACAATGCAGGTCATGAACACACTTTTAATGCGTTCATTCGATGTGAGAATAGCAAATATTTTCTGCAACTCGATGGTGATTCACAAAGCGAATGCACGATTTTTGGGAGGGTAAAAACAGCTTTTATTTTAGATTTACACCTGGCATGAAATTCAATTTAACAAAAAAAAGGTTTTGCTCTGTTATTTGGGAGGTCCGAGCATTGCACGTTAACTTAAATGTCTGGATACTTTCTAAAACCTAGTTTAGTCTTTAGTCTTTTTTTTTTGAAGTGCAAAAATGGTATCAGCTAAAACGTTTTAGGCGGAATACACTCTAAAAATTTGGTGGATTTTAAAACTGAAACACCTTGGCCAAACGTACAGATGAAAGGGCGGAGCCAAAGATTAAAAAGTTAGCTTAATTTATTTATATGTACTTCAAGTTCCCATGAAATGAAAAACACATTTTCCCGATTGTGATCCAGCGTTCCTGTGTTTAATGTTCATTTAGCTGCCAAATTTATTCCAGTACAGCATTATCTCATCTCATGTTTTATCATCTTTATAAAATATTATTTATAGTATAGTATTTTCTCTTCCTGTAACACATTTCAAATGTCTGACGTCTCCTTCTGTGCAAAAGGGGCGTTTACTGATTTCCAACCAGTTAAAAAGCATCGACGAAACCAACGATCCAATCAAATCCATCCCAACATTATGTCCCGCCTTCTCCCATGATTGGCTCTATATTTCTATCCCGCTGCAGGAGGAAAAACGTCCCGACACGGCAGATAGACCCAAAAATAAGTTCATTAAAGGGGGACTAACTTAATGCTGCCACTAGGGGTCTCCAAAGTGCAAAACTCCCAGTCGTAGTTTTGATG